TCAGTTGCAGTCAAAAGACAAAACTTATGGGACAATATTTTTCTGCAACTTGTCCTGACTAGGCATGCACCAGATTTTAACTGGTGTTGGAGCATCCGGAAGAACTGCTACAAATCAGTTATCACGATTCTCTCAGAGCTGTAAAACATCTAATTTTGTAGAAAAATATTTGCTCTACAAAATGCATTTGTTAAAAGAATTCCAGAATCATTTCTAAGAAAACTTAGAGCATTTTAAAATGTACTAAATTACGAAAAAAAACTTCGAACAGCTTTTTTTCCGTGATTTAATGTATTTTTGAATACTCCGAGTTTTCTTAGAAATGATTCTGGAATTCTTTTAACAAATGCATTTTGTAGAGCAAACATTTTTCTACAAAATTAAATGTTTTACAGCTCTGAGAGAATCGTGATAACTGATTTATAGCAACTCTCCGGGATGCCCCAACATCAATTAAAGACTGGCGCATGCCTAGTCCCGACCCCGTGAAATGTTTTTCTTGCCCCAAGCCCATGAGCCCGTAATTTGTTTTTTGTCCCGACCCCGTGTGTCCCGCAGGAGTATAGTGATGAGTGCATTTTCCAAAGACCACGTAGTGTATGTTCAACTGTATGTATCGGTCTCACCATACCCACTCAGCTAGCTATCTGTCAACCACGTCACATTTCATCTACACTATATTATGCAGCTCAATAAAAGTCTTAAAAGCCAACACAAAACACTTTGGTTTTTGGAAAGATTTTCCGTAAATCTTCCGAAGTAAAGGAGTTATTATTACTAATCTTAATTAGAAAAACATATTGAGCACATAAAATAGTGTACATCTGGATATTCTGACGTTGCCTGGGAGCTTGCATTGATTTTGAGTAAGTTATGAACTTTCTAATTTGACGCGTACATAGGCAAAAATTGTTTGTATCACCTAATATAAGTTTTCACTAACTTTCTGTATTTTTTCCGAAAAATAAATATTGCCACGAGAGCCAACATGATAGATAATGTATTTGTCCATTGATTTTAGTTATGATCAGTTTCCATTGTCAAATGTATCAGTTTTAACTGTGGCAGTTTTTGACTCTAGGCAGTGTTCAGTTGTTGGATACCCATTCTGAAACGGATTTGGGAGAATGCTTTGAACGCTACAAAGCCAGAATTCGAAGACAAATTCTACAAAGACTTAGCAGTAGCACTGAATATCATACTACGTAGTCATTATCTACACCGAGTATACTTTGTTCTAGATGTTTTATTCAAAAAGTCATTTGACATATGAAAATCATTTTGCCTTAGTCGAATAATAAATTAAATAGCTATTAATATTTCTGCGATATATTTCAAGTTTTACCATCGTTGATCTAGTTATTACGATTAAAAGTGGTGGAACAAAACGCTATTTCAGCTTAAAAAGTTGGTCCTTTTCATCGTGTTGAATATTCTTCATTCCAGTTTTCTCCTTAACTTGTTATAGAAATAAGTTTGATCAAGTATTATAAAGAATTCGACGGCGCATCTTTTGGAAAAACGATCTTATCTGAGGATTGAAAGGAAAAGAAATTATATGCAAAATACAAGGAGGACCATTTATTCTGGGCCGACCAATACTATCAAGTCAAAACCGTAATTTTACAATAACTAATAAAAATTAACCTGGAGAGGGGAAATAGTCCGGATTTAAACTTGAGGAGATGTTCCATATCTAAAACTAGGCTTACAGTTCTTTCCTTTCGATTCCGAGCTAGTGAGTGGATGTAAAACATTCTTTTATACTGCTACTTTTAAGTTTAGACCTAAATAAATTAGGCTTAAATTTTGTCATGCGGATTTTTTGCAAAACTGACTTTGAGACTTGAAGCATCTCTTGTAATAGTTACGGTTTATCATAACAGACAACAACATTTTCAAAAAATTACGGCACAAACGGTACCAGTTTCAGCTAGAAAGCTTGTTAACATTAATATGGAAAAAGAAAATCCATGTATTTTCGCTCAGGATATTGTATCGTGTTCTTTTATGAGTTTTCTGATAAACTCTAGTTTTCATCCAGTCACATTACGACTCCTTGAAAAATAGTCCCATCGCGCTCAATTTTTTACCACAGAAAACACAGAGCCCATCTCATCTCGGTACTAGCGATTTCAGTATTGTAAATAAATACATACAGCGGCGTATCCAGGGGAGGGGGCAAATGGGCAATTGCCCATTTCATCTGGAGATTTGCCCATTGTAATTTTTATTAGTAAGTTTTTGCGCATCGAAATTTTACTTAGCAGATATACCCATGCGTTTTTTTTTTGTATAACCCTTAGAAAGATATATGTAAGGGTGCCTATAGACAGAATTGTTTGTTTATTTTTGAATTAGAATCTAATTCAAAAATTAAATGAATCTCATTTCATTTTTTTGTGTTCTTTTTGGACCAAAAATCTTTTGGCCCATCGACAAAAACCTTGCCCACTTTGCCCATCGTTTTTTTCCGATACAATAGAAGTTTGCCCAATGGACTAAAAATCCTGGTTACGCCGCTGAATACATATGACAATACTTGATGTACAGAATAAAATAAAAGTAATGAACGGACGAATATTAGCAGCAACTGTTCGAAGAATTATAGGACTTGTTGTTGCGGAGAAACATTCTTAACAGTTTAGCTGTACTTTGGTGCAACATAAAAGAGAGAAAAACTTTTGGGAAAGCTTTTTAACAAAGAAAGGATTCTGCCGGATTTGTAAATTAGAAGAAACCAATAAACCGAATATATGGTTTGTAGAGAATTTTATGGCGCATCTTTTAGCTTTTTTATTTTTATTTAGTGCTTTAGATAGTGCTAGGGCGGTTGCGAACAACGAAAGATAAAACCCAGAAACGAAAGAAAAACAGCAAGATGTCCATGAAACACGAAACTGTCGGTCATATGACCGTTAGAATAGACTATAAATGGAGTTTTAATGACTAAAACCTCAAAACTCGCGATTGGTCGGTATCTTGTTTTCAAGTTGTGGAACTTTTCCACCACTTTTAAAATAAAGTTTTTGTGCTCAGTCTGTGGAAAATTAAACTCTCTATCGCATGTGACCTTCGAATTGTTGGAGAAATTCTGTTTGGAGGGTCGAAAGTGGCATTTTCTCTAAAATTTTGACCCTTCAAAATCCCAATTCTCCAATTGAAGTGAATTTCAAACAGTCACTTCCAACTTCAGAGAAATTAGGAACTATGTGATTTGGTTCAGTTTTTATCAGGCTTTCAAAATGAGACGTTGTTCGAATGAGATGTTGCATTCGAGAGGACGAAAACAAAAAATTTCCATAGGTTACGAGCACTCGAACTAAACTGTTTTGACAAGGGCTCGAGTCCTCGAAATACGTGGTCCAGGCCCGTTAAAACACGTAAAGCGAGGGTTCGAAAGACCGCTCGGAAGACTGGTTGGGTAGTGCAGAATGAGCCGAAGATTTTTTGGGTTAGGAGTTGATGCTAACTCCGAAGTTGAGGTAGCGAAAAGACTTGTTAGTTCGAAAGCTCCAGCGTTTCTCTTATATTTCAATAGATCCGCTCTTATTGGGAGCAAAATGTCGCTTGCCGTTCTTAATAAGTATAGTTTATCTATTGATGAACTTGTTTATAATGTTTATAATGTTTAAATGAAAGCCATAAAATGAAAGGTAAGCGGAAAAGTTCCTGTCCAATACACAGCTTTCTTGCATTTTGTTTTATTTATTTCTCTTTTAGACCACAAAAATAAAATTTCTTTTATTAAACTCCTAGCAGCAGCGGCAACCGACGATGGTAAAATGTCACAGTTAAATAAGCAAGACCCTCGTGCTCGAGCATCAACAATAGCTTCCAGTGAAGAATCACCAGCAAAACCAAAAAGAAAATGACAAGATCCATTAGCGAAATCAAAATGGGGAATGAATGATCCACTAACAGCTCTTAAATACCGTTAAATATTGTTATTTTTTATGGCAATCCTGGTTTTTCTTATTTTGTTTACTCAAATTATCAGATGTCAGATTGTTAAGTAAGAACTTTATTTCTCCTGTGATGGTTCCTTGTTTTCTCTGTTGTTTGTTATTTTATTTAGGCTGTTTATTTGAACACATTACACCGCGTCTATCTAGTCGAAGAAAAAAAGCCGGTGTGCGTGTGTTTCACGTGTGACAATGTTGGCTTTTTCGACAAAAGTCAGAAAACGAAGTGAAACGTTTTTGCCAAACATTATCACATGTGGAACACACGCACAGTAGTCGGAACGGGAAAAAGAGAAAAAACTTAATTTTTAAATGTTCAGCACAGCAGAGTTTTATTCAAAACCAACATGATGTTCGGAATTTATGAAAACAACTGCATCGAATGATGTATAATTCACCTTATTTTGAGAAACACATGTTTCATTGAATATTTTAAGTAAAACGTGCGAGGAAAACTTTCCCTCGCAACATACATACGAGCATGTGAGATGCTCGTATGCAATACGAGGATGCGGGCTTGAATCGATGCGAATAAAGTGCGGATAGTCTTTACATGGAATATGTTTAACTTACAGGTGATAAGAATTGGCTCGATTCTCAACCATTTTGTCTTTTGCAAGAGACGCACGATATTATGCATCTATTTATAAAGTATACAGATTACATATCGATGTCATCTTCTCTCGAAAACTAAAATTTCCTATCATATAAATAATGTAGGTATATGACTTTTTATTTGTCCTCGAAATTCGCATAACAGCACTATGACACACTTTCTCTGTTTACCTGTGTAAATATATTTTACTGTTTTGAGTAAAGGTAGGCAAATATGTGTTACAATGTACAAAGCAATGTTATAGTAAGAAAGAAAGAGAAAAAAACTTTTAACGGTCTCACACGGCAGCAACCATTTAATGGTGAATCGAAGACGAAATTATTGTTGAGGAATCGAGAGCCAAGAAGCGAGCACTAATGGCAAACGCTTCACAGACAAATTGTGAGCGACCGTCCTCGGCCTTCAAATCCCCTTGTGCAATGTGTTCCAAACCGATTGGTATTTTACGATGCGAAGGATGTCAAAAACTATTTTGTCGCAGCGATTTAAACGAACATCGCAACGAGCTATCCAATCAATTAGACGGGCTTACGGTCGAACATGATGCGTTTCAACATACACTGAACCAGGCAACAGCCGATTCTCGCACCCAGGGACTTATACGTCGAATTGATGCCTGGGAAAAGGAATCGAAGCTCAAGATCCGACAGGCAGCCGACGAAGCTCGTCGTCAGATTGAAATCCATGCTGTCAGAAATGCAAAAGAGATTTCGACACGCTTTCGGGAAATGGCTGATAGACTACAGCAGGCGCGAAAAGAAGACGCATTTGATGAACGAGACTTGAAACGATGGACAGAACAACTCGAACAACTCAAGGAGAACTTTGTTTCACCATCTTCTGTTGCAGTGGAAGAGGAGCAAGGAACGTTCATTGCGAAAATCCAGGTGAAAGACGTGGAGGTCTTGGGGAAAAGATTCGATCAAGTGCTATACGGCTTTGCCGTAGTCGACGATGGAGGCTTGGCTGTTGTATGTAATTATTACAACAACCATGGTGCACAAGTCCGAGGCAAGGGAGAATATTCTGGCGGTCTACACGAAATTCAGCTCAAAATCGAGAATTATGCTGATGGCTTTCTGTTTTTCGGCATCAACTCAAAATCGACAGCAATGCAAAATAATTCCTGCACTTCGATGTCATCTTATGGCTGGGCAGCTGGAGCGAACAATACGGTGTATATACACGGACAAGGCTCAAACAACTACAAGGGGTACGTGAGCGACTTTAGAGTGAACGACATCATTGAGCTTGAGCTGGATTGCTATCGTCGGCTCATTCGAATGCGAAATCATCGCTCAAATAAACAACATGAGTTGCCAATTGATCTTGATAAGTGTCCATTTCCATGGGTACTTCATCTCAACCTAGGCAGTTACGGCGATCGTCTGCGCATTGTCCTCTAGACTGTTCGGTGAGTTAGATTACTTCCCGTGAAAACTTTATTTTCAAAATGTCTTCCTTATACAGCACTAGCCAAAAATAAAAGTTCACTTATTCGAACGCAGTTGTCTGATCACTCTCAGCGGATTTATCAACTTATAGAAAAAAAATCTTCAGGGTGACATGGACACAAGCATTCTCTATCTGAGTATGAAATCAGATTTGCATCATATCACTTTCGAATTCGAAAAAACAAAATTTTATAGAAAAATATCAAAAGAACTATACGACGATGATCAGCATCGAATTCTTTGTGATCATCTTTTTCTCGCTGGGTTCTACCTTTCATTCTGTGCAAGAACATAATAAAAGTTGTATCTTACTTCGTAGAAGTAGAAAACTACATGAGCTATTTTGTAAGCCAGAGATGTAACCAGTACCGGCACTATTATCGGCGTTAAAGTACAAGACTGGTGGTTAGTTTTTTCAATAACTCAAGAGGAATAAAACATAGAGACTTGCCGTTTTCATCATTCGCTAACCAAGATCTGAGGCTATGTTTCATAAGCAAAAATGAGTTTCGAAAAAGGACGGGGAACGGTTTCTGCTAGAAAATGGCCCAATATGATTTTGAGTGAAAATGATCGGAAATGCTTCTCTTTTCGCTTCCCAACACTTCCAACGTTCAAAAATTCCTTCTGGTGTCTTTCAAACAAAAATTACTTTTCATTTTTCGCTACCAGTTCAACAAAAGCCATTTACCTTTTTGGGCAAATTTCTCGTCTGATTTCAAAGTCCTTGAGCAAGCTAATACATAGTAACATAGAGAAACGAGGTTTTCAAAAATCTGCCCATACAGGAAAATTGTCGAAATCCTAAAAAGATATCATCATTTCACCTATCTTAGCACTTTAAAGGAATATTTCTTGAACTCATCTACTCAGAACCGGAATGTTTTATATATGAAAGATAGAGAATTTTTCGGGCTTTAAAATGAGCTATAAATAAGTCTTTCGAAAATATGCCCACATGGGTCAATAGTCGAAATACTTGGCCGATGTCATGATTTTCACCTATCTTACTGCGCTAAACACACCTTTAATCATTTTTCTGCCGTAATAAAAATTATATATTTTTCAAAAACATACCATTGGATAGCCCTTTAAATTCTCTACAACGAGAGCTGATCAGAATATCCAGACAGATTGGGCCAGTCATTAACGATATCGAACGGAAGCGTTTGGGTGTTATCTGTGTAGTACAGTGTGTCATAATCACAAGAACTCCTTTGTGTTTTATTTTTCGGTAAAAGCTGGGACCAATCAGAATACTGTTTTGGATAGCCCGAAGATTTTTCTAACAGATGAGGTGTATATCGCCGTTTCATGAGAAAAGTTGATAATAGGGTTTCTGGAAAACCTGAACGTTAGAAAACCAGGTCCTTAGTTTTTGGTCGGAAAATTTTGCAAACCATATAGCCTGATAGAGCGAAGAATTCTGAGGAAAATAAGATATCTCCAAGCTGCCTATAAGGCTTTGTCACATGAATGTTTTGGAAATTTTCACGCCCATTGTAGCCATTCGTAGATCGACTGCAGTTGCGTGAAAAAGCCTTATAGACAGCTTGGAGATATCTTATTTTCCTCAGAATTCTTCACTCTATCAGGCTATATGATTTGCAAAATTTTCTGACCAAAAACCAAGGACTTGGTTTTCTAGCGGTTCCCCGTCCTTTCAAATATCGTTTTCTCAGGAGATCTGTGAAAAACCTGTTCCGCTCTCTGAAAGCTGACATACAAATCTATCGGTTTGTTTTCACACATATATAGTCCGAAGTGGTCTCTACAAGACTGGGTCTA